TCATCACAAATACAGACTATGACATCAGTTCTACTTAAACTGTGAATGGTTCAGACTGTTTATTGCAAAAACAGAAAAAATTTGCATTTAGGATGCAGAAACAAATTGACTGAACACATTTTTGAACATCTTCCTAATTCATACACCATTAACTGACTCAATTATTTCTGGCCTGTTACTCTTTGTTTTTGTTCAGTTTGTTAATAACAGAGTTTATACTAGCCTGGTAAACCAGACTAAATAGGAGATTAAATGTGTAATTTATTCTGGTCCCGTTCAATGAGACATTGGAAGATTGTTTATGAGAACAACCTGTTGTTTTTCAAACCGCTGTCTGTGCCTATTGGCCAACGCTCTGACCAATGAGCTCCACTGACTGTGACGTAGGAAGTACGACAGGAAGCTGGTGGGGGAGTGTAAACAAAAAGCCTGTCGGTAAAAAGGCGAATACGTTCTTAAAAATGAATGAGCGTAGAGCCTCTTCCTGCTCACGTTTCAACGAAAACCCCAAGTCTACTCCTTTCAAAACTGATTCCAAAGCTGAGTCAAAAATCTCCATCAGAGCCATCGGTCCTTCTCACATGACTATGCAAATAGAGGGCTGCGGTGGACGGGCTGCGGTTAGCCCTGGCTGCCATTAGCCTTGGAGCTCCACTGGTTGCCGCGATCCTCTCAACTTCAGAAATAGTTTTTATTTAATTATGCATTAAATGTGTAAATGGACCATATAGTGACGCTTTCAAGTATAATATTCTCGCCTTAAAATGATCTTAAAACAAACTTTTATTGAACAACAGCAACAGAAAGAGAACTTTTAACTGTCAATGGAGCGCTCCATTGAAAGCTGCTCCTGCCGCAGTCCATGCTGCTGTTGTGCTTTCTCCAGCGTCGCACAACTTTGTCGTCACGCCCTCATAATCTGCCCGCTTTGCCTCCAGACATTCAAAACACATCCCTGCATGTGATTAACCTGCCAGATTTAGGGCCTGGGGCATTGATTTTGGCTGTACCACTCGCAGGAAAAAATTATTTTGGCCGCTAGCGGGTGGGGCTAGTTTATGCTTAGTTTATGCTTTTTAATGCTCCTTTATTAGGTACACCTGTCCAACTGCTCATTAACACTTA